ATTTTTTTAATGTATGTTAAATCCAATTTTTATGTTTTTATTTTTAAATTATTATAATTGTTTTTTAAAAAAATCACATTTGTACAAGTAATAAGGTTTCACATATTATTTTCATACATTTAAGATGAGGTTAAAAAAAGAAGCAATCATCCTCACCAATTTGTCTCTCGTACATAATTTTTGTTTCTATAATTATAGAAAATGAGATAGTTTTCTTTCCTCTTGTAAGACGAATATGTTTTTTTAAGGGTTTAGGCTTCTTTGTCCCCCGAATTGTTTAGGTAAGGCTGAATTGACCTTCTTGTCTGATTTTCTCTCTTTAATTAATAAAAATTTTGTCAAGGTTTTGTCTTTGTTTTAAAAAAAAAAAATTCTCACTTAAGCACTGGCTAGAGCAAATAACTTGGCGGTACTCTTTGGAATATCACCACATGATGAATTGAGTACGTGAAGAAAAGTTCCAAGTTAACCATATGCAATGTTAGGTTTTGAAGAGCACATAATAATTAGATGCGAAACAAGGTGTAATGAACTTGTAACTCAACTCATGTCTATGTTATTTTTCTTTAAAAGGTTTTGGTATATATATATATATAAGTAAGATAAGGTACATGAAATTAAATGAAAGAGTGAGAAATTATACTCATAAAACTCCCAAAAAATTCAATGAAATATTGGTAGCTACATGAGTCTGTCTTTTGGTTCGAGAATGTAGCTAATTTAAGCCTTTAATTTTTTTGACAATCAAGTCTTTGAATTATTAATTAGTATATTTTTGATAATTCCGCACATGCTCTACCTAAGCTTTTACATTATGGTCTTGCAATTCCAATGATACACAGAAATAAAGGAAGCGTACAGTAATATACTTTTTATTCAATGCGGACAAAGTTTCAACAATTGGGGCAACTGATTGCTCTCATGTCTGAAAGAATTACGTGTGATCCAAAAATAGATTGCTATTTTTTAAAGATCTATGCTTATAGAGTTTGCAGAGACATAGATTACAAAGACTTCTATTTACAGAGAATTATGCCTATATATAACTTCTATCAAGTGAGGGATTTATACAGTACTAGATATATATGAAGTGAGGGGTATACACAACAATGTTATATCCTTATTATCTTCTCTCAAGCTGCGCAGTAGATTGCAGAGTCAGCTTGTCTCATAAGAGTAAAAATTACTGTTTGTATAAAGCTTTTGTCAAGGCATCCGCAATCTGATCATTTGTTGAAATAAAGCTCACTGCTAATTCCTTCTTCTTCACCTTGTCTCTTATGAAGTGGAAATCGATCCAAATGTTTCAACCGAGCATGAAACACAAGAATCGTAGCAAGATAGGTTATAAATATATTGTCTCACCAAATGACAGGTGCCACATGAATGGTAATTCCTATTTAACCCTATTCAAATCAAGATGGAAATTAAGCTAACAGAAAAATCAATTAACTAAAAAAACAATAAAGAAGTTAAGAAGCTAAATGTGATGGGCAAATTCAACAATATTCTTATATATAAAAAAAGAAAAAATCTGAATGATCTAAACATAAACCTTATCAATAATATAAACAAAAACCTTATCAAAATTGTTAATCCAATATAATTATTTTCTTTGACAACATCTTGAAATAATTATTGAAAATTGTAACAATAATTAGGAATATTACCTCGGATTCCACAAGCTGGATGAGGTCATCAAATCGTAGAAAATATTGCAAAGACTAGTTTAAGAGTAAAGTGAGGATAATCTTGTGTTCTAAGCATAAATTTATCTACATTGAGTTACATAAATTATTATTACATAGTTATGTAATTTTTTTTTTCTATTTTGATTTGACCTATCATAGTTAGGTCCTTAACTTGTAGTAACAAAAATGAAATGGACCATTTCATTTTTGTTACTACAAGTTAAGGACCTAACTATGTGGATATATTTTCCATTTCATTTTTGTTACTACAAGTCAAGGACCTAACTATGTGGATATACAAGCGTAGAGACCCAAGTGAGGTTGCTTTCAAGCTACAGTTAGCTACCTAATGAATTTTAGGACTAGCCCATGTTATTACCAACTTGTTGGATTGGCGAATGTGGAGTTGTTTTCAAGGAGAGCTTCGAAGAGCATCTTCTAATAAGCTACTGTCTCACCAATAAGTTTTTAGTTCATTGGTAGTGACTTTTTGGTTATATACACATCAATTCAAATTCTAATTCTACTAAAAGCCTTAGATATGTATGTTAGGTGTGTGAGTTATTTAAAAGGAAAAAAAAAAAAGCCAATGTCTCTAGCATGCAATAAAGTCTCACATATTAGAGCCTTTTATTTTATTTTTTTATCCCCAATTCAAAGTTGTTGCAGTTATAAGAACTAGTAAGGATTGTGAAGACATTATCAATGACAGGTTATATAAATGCTCATTAATATCTATACTTTAAGTTTTAACAAAATCAACTACGTGGAAAATTATGTGAAATTTGATTTTTTTTTTTAAGCAACTATTTTACTCATCAAATCAACTTGAAATAGAAAGAAGCTAAATGTGTTAAGCAAATTCAACAATAGTCTTGTGCCGAAAAAAAAAAAAAAAGGAAAAAACTTAATGATCTAAACATGTTTAACCTTATCAATGATCTAAACACAAACCTTATCAAAGTTGTTAATACAACAAAATTATTTTCTTTAACAACTTGAAATGATTGTATAAAATTTGTAACAACAATTATGAATATCCACCGATTCCACTAACTAGATGAGGTCATCAAATGACGGAAAATATTGCAAAGATCGGTTGGAGAGTAAAGTGATGACAATCTTGTGTTCTCAACATAAATCCATTTTATTACGAGTTATGTAAATTGTTACATAACTATGTAACTTTTATTTATTTATTTTTGACCTAACTTACCACAAATATATATATATTCTTGAGCTAGTTTTCATATCAACAAAGACTAAGTCCACCATTCTTTGAAGTAATCTAGCGCTAGAACACACCTTGCCTTTTGATCCACCAAAGAGTTGTCTTTTAGACCAAATCAGTCCAAGACTATACTAATAAAGAATAATTATGATTAGTTATTCATGGATAATGATAATTAAATCTTGGGCTTGATTAAATCAAAACAACATTTTTGTCACTAAACCACATCTCTACATTGAACATTTAATTATTGCCCGCCTCATTGTTTACTAATGTTTTTTTGATATGAGATTGTAGGGTTTGTTGCATCTCTCCACATTTGCCTTTTTCTCAACATCCATCTTAATCAATTGCTCTTTTTTTCAGGAAAAAATGGTTAAAGTAGCATGTATACTTATTTGTATGTTGGTTGTTGCTATGGATGTAGTAGTTGGTATTCTTGGCATTCGAGCAGAAGTTGTACAAAACAAGGCATGCTAAACATCCTTTCTTTCTTCCTTTCTTTTATTTATGATTTTTGTATTTTTTTTTTTTTTTGGGACATATTAGGCATATTATACTACAAAAAATGCTTAAGTCTTATACATCTAACTCATAAACTCCATTTCATTTTTGTGGCTACAGTTTAGGCATGTAAGACTGTATATACGAGTGCAGAGACCCAAACCAGGATGCTTTGAAGCTAGCTAGCGTTAGTTGGAGAAGGAATTATAGTACAAGGCCATGCTATTGCTAACTTGTTGGATTGGCATATGTGCAGTTGTTCTCAAGGAGAGCTTCGAAGAGCATCTTCTAATAAGTTACTGTCTCCCGCATGCTTCCCTTTCTCTTGATAAGTAAAGTTGAAAAGCTAATCATGTCTTAATTAAGTGGCTTGGATCATTAGTTCTTAGGAGAGTAACAATGCTTTGTTTTACTGATTAGCTAAAGATGTGTGATACCCTCAAATTAGCTTCAAAAATTTTGCATGGGAAGCATAAAAAACAGAGTGAGAGGAACTAGCTTAACGGTCACTAAAGTTATGCTCTTCAATTGAGATAAAATATTTCAAGATCGAAATTTGTGTTTCATTGGACTGGGATATGTGCTGCAATATCATAATCGGAAGCGGTCGAGAGATTCTTTATCTGCACCCGGATTCCAGGTTGAGAATCATTCGTAGGGATTTGAAAACAAGGAACATTCTGCTAGATGAGGAAATGAACCCCAAATTTCTAACTTAGGATGGCAAGGATTTTTGGAGGAGAAGAAACTGTCGCTAACACAATCAGAGTAGCTGGAACCTAGTAAGTTTTGCATTGATGGTGAAATCTTCCAACTTTTATTTCGATCAAATTTGAACCTAGTAAGTTTTGCATTGACGTGGAATCTTTGGAAAGAAGACAAGGCAATGGATTTTTGGACCAGACGTTATGCAAAACATTTAACACGTGAGTTTTTGAAGTTTGTAGATGTTGGGCTATTATGTGTGCAAGAAGACCCTAGGGACCGTCCCACAGTGTCCAAAATTCTTTTCATGCTTGGAAGTGAAACTACTGCCAGGAATCAGTGATGCCCCTAGTTACTCACATTTCGCTGTAGCTCTCGGGCCATTCATGAGTTTCCTCATTTTTTTTTCCGAAACCTTACATTCGAAATTTTGCTTTCTACATGGTCAATGGCCATCCCATACACCACAAGTCCCTTTCATGGATAGAACATAGCTTTGATGACCGAGGCTAACTCAACTTCTACTAATGTACTCTAGTGAAACTTCAATTCTCAAAGTAAACATTTTTGCAGACGCTGCAATCAATGATCCTCTAGTGAAACTATAATGCATCATGATCTCACCTTAGAAAGATATATGGGCGCCTTTTGAAAAGGAAGAATCAAGGACGAAAAGATGCAATATATATATATGGCCAATAACGTACCTATACAATAATACCATTCAGAACACCTAACATGTTATTGATGCCCATTACCCTAAAGATGATAGCAGCAGAATATGCCAAAAACACTACAAACTCCATATAAAGGGCATCAAAGTACGTAGAGCAAAACTCACAACTGGTCCTCGGTATCCCTTTCATGCACTAATCCAATTTAGTTGGTAGAGTTACTCTCTTGCGTATCAACATTTCAACAGTTGGGAATTTCCTCTTCCTTCCACCTCTTGGCTTTGACTTGAACTGCCGGTCAGACTCCTCAAAATCACCCTCATCCAAAAGCAATCCAATTTCAGAATGCCAATTCATTTTCTAGACATGTTACAATGTAGCTTCCATGCTTATGAGCAAAATGTGTTAATAGACCAGCGTCAGAACTTACAGGAGTATAGACATACAAAGAAGACTTTTCATGGTTATCTCTTACATGCTTGTATGAGAATCTCATGTCACAACCTGGAAATCCACACACAAAAGACCTTTGTTCAAGATGCACTGCCCTCACATGCTGATGAAGATTTGTTTTCTGCAAACAAATAGGAAAATCCAAATGGAACAAAAAAAAAATGATGCTTGGTGAGCAGGTAATGGCTCGCTTATTCAGTATTAAACACTATAATAAAGAGACCCGTGGATGATATAACATTAGTGACATCTTACAGGAAAGAATGTGTGCTGACAACCCTTGAATGAAAAAAAAAAAAAATGATGCTTGGTGAGCAGGTAATGGCTCACGTATCGGTATTAAACACTATAATAAAGAGACCAGTGGATGATATAACATTAGTGACATCTTACAGTAGAGAATGTGTGCTGCCAACCCTTGAAATTGCATTTGATTCTCTCTGTTGAATCACTGATAGATTCATGGGTACGGAGATGTCTCTTGATGTTCTTTTTTAGCTGTTTTGTGCCACAGATATCACAGTTAATGTATTGGTGGCAGGACTGTATGTGGGCCTTCAGGCATTCCTTATTAGAAAAATGTTTCATACAGCCTGGTTCTAGACGCATTGCCTTCACGAACTCCAGGTTCACTGCATTAGATAAGATAATAATCAGAGACTGCAGGTAGGATAGATTGCCAAAAATTCAAACTCGTGAATAATTCTTCCTCATTTCAAGAAACATCAACTGTGATATTAGTGTATGAGTGAAGAGAAAGCAACTTACCATGAGAATCCTCATGTGTTCGCAGCTTTGATGGATATCTGAATACCTTCCCACATCGCGTTTCCTGGCATATATACTGCTTCTCACCTTCACCACTATAGGAAGGAGAACTCTCATCATGAAGCTCTCTAACATGCCTTTTCATATTGCTTGGGTAAACAAATTTGCAATTGCAATTCTCAATTTGACACTTTAAAAGTTTCCCTTCATGCAGGAGAAGGTGGCGAGTTAAGTGATCTTTTCTTCTATAGCTGGCATGGCAGTCATCAACCGAGCATGCAAATGGCCTCTGCAGAATCAGAAAAACAATGACAAAAACAGTAAAGCAATAATTTCTTAGATCACTAAAAATAATCAGAATAGATGCAGACAAAAGCCTTCAAACCTCAACTTCAACAGGAGCGTGATTGAGGCTCGCTTGATGGAGCTTCTCAGGAGGTCTCCCAGCCTGATACTAGTCCATTCAAGTCCAAACTTCAAGCCTCTCACATTTTGGAGTTCTCTGAGTGGGATCCAATGCTCACGCATCAACTTCCAGATTTTTTTAAAAATTAAAATAGCAATCCTGCAAAATACTTAGAATTCAATCGGTGCAAATGCTATTATTAAATGTCATTAACAACTCACTTTGAGCTGCAGAGCACATAATGTTCCAAAAAGAAAAGCATTTGAACAAGGAAATCAAGTGGAAAGCAAAACCATGTGTACAAGCAACCTATACAATTAAAAATCATGGTCAAATACCTCAAGAGAATGACTTTGCATGTGTTGAATCAAATATGCAGGCTTTTTAAAACTAGCACCACGTTTTTCGCAAGTGTTGGATTTTACTTCCTCCTTTCCCTCATCCCCATCAACTCTTTGTTTGTCCATCTCCTCCTAAACAGCAGGAAAAACAAAGGTAAGACTGCAATTCAACTTACCCAATCTTCAATTTCAAAAATAACCCACAAAAGAATTAGATTCCAAAAGCAACTTCAGCCAATAAGATCATTTAAATTAATACCTAATAGATATAAAGAGAAAAAAAAAAAAAACACAGAATCATCGAAAGGAGCGAAAACCCAGAATAATAATTAATAAAATGAGAACAATTAACCTATAAAAAACACTGATCATCGAGCACAATCTTGGCTCCTAATTACATAAAAAAAAAAAAAGAAGAAAAAGAAAAAGAGAGCATATTTTCCAGTTTTAGATCCAACCCAACAGAGAAAACTAGCTATATAAGGTGAAGCCTACTAATAGCAACTAAACAGACAAAAACATATGAAGAAAGAAACAGAAATAGAGATTAAAAGACAGACCTTGTGACGGGTGAGGACATGGGAAGTGATGAGAGACTTCTTCGATCTACAAATACCACAGTAATCACAATAATATCGCCTTATATCTCTGAATATAACTGGCCTTTCTTTCTCCACTTGTTCTTCTTCCATCACCACCATCTCTCTCAAAAGGGTTCTGGTTTTTTTTATGCCAGAAGGTAGAGAGGTGATAGCCAGACGGGCCAACGGAATTATTTATAGCTACACTGGTAGGCAGGGGTGTTCATTCGAATCCAAAACAAACCGAAATGTTATTCGATTAAAAAAACCGAAATATTAGTTTCGGTTAAAACCCTTTATTTTTTTACAAAAAAAAAACAAAAAAAAAATTAAAGCTAGTGGCATTTTACACCAAGAAAATGTAGAAGACCAAACAAAAAGGTTTATGCAGTTCACAATTCTCCAAAATGAAAAAGAGTGATTAACTTCACAATTGTAAGTGCAGCTCAATACCTCATCATTTTGCATATTTGAAAAATCAATATAGAGAGAGCCCTGAGTACCGATCGAAGAGAAATTCATTTACGAAGGTCTAGTTAGCATTATCGATTACTGGTTAAGCAATTAGCCGTAAATTTAAAACCAAAAACTAGTTCAGACATGCATCTAAAACAGTCTGAGGTGTAATAGCTATATTTACTAAAACAGTAGTACTCTAGTAGCCAGCCTTCCATAGTTCTTACATACTTTAATACAACACTACTACAGCCGTGGGAGAGATTATACAATAGAACTTGCTGCTGCTCTTTTTCAGTGATGTCTATTCATTATTATTCAATTTGTCAAAATAAACTATATATATGTTTTGACATAGGCTATATATTTTGTGTTCCATAATTTTTTGCTTTTTAAATTTGCCCTTCAACTCATGTTATCATCAACCACATCTTCTACTGTATTTTTCTTATTGCTAGGATATTTAATATTTTTCGAAGTTATTGTGGTCAAGTCTCACGTAGTATTAATGTTGTCTGCCTATGTTTTGAATAATCTTTCCACAAAATTACTCAAAAAAATGAAGGATTTTTGGATTATTTTAACAGTATAAAGTTGTTGTGCTTCATTTTTTAGGAAATCCAGATTGAAAATCATCTGTGCTCTTAGACTCGAATTGTTGAATTTAAAAGTCATTAGTAAATTGATCGCGCAACGTTGCTGGACTGAGAAATCTTATAATCAAGAAATTAAGTTTTTTATTCAACCCTTTTTCTTTTTTTCCTTGTCTCTTGTACATTTTCTCCATCCTTAAGGTGCATACTATGTTACAAGAATATATATATATATATATAATGTAATATTTTTGGATCAATTTTTTCGTCAACTAAGAATAAATTTATTAATTTTTTTAGTTAAGTCATAAAATTTTTTAATTGATCATTGGACTATGTCTAAAATCATATTAGTTCAAACCTAATACAATTAAAAGATAATTATAATCGATAGTTAAAATTAAATTTTAATCTTTATTGAATCGAAAAAATCTCATACAGTTAAATCATAATAAGACATAAAAAAATATTACAATACAAATGTCCATATTGTTGGTAAGTAATTGAAGTCATTGATTTTGCAATTAAATTGAATGTTTAGCTTTCATCTTAAAGTTCAGCGCTCAACATTTTGCATATGTTGCATAAGTCATAATTTACATGGAGAAAACGAGCTAAGTTCCAAGAAGGGAGAGTCCGTGGAGGATGCCAGAAGAAGACACTCGCCAACCAAAGGCACATCGATGATCGATGCAACGATCGAGCTGAGGATGTTATCCCAGTCATTGGTCTTATGTTAATTTTAGTTGACTTTTTGGTTTTAAGGTTTAATTACTTATATTAAAAGAGAACCGAATCGAATTTATTTTGGTTTTCGATTCAGTTCGGTTTTTTAAAATTTCAATTAGATTTAAATCAAAAACCGAATTTTAGTTATATATACACACTAACACTGTCACTCTCTCTTCTCAGCCGCCTCCCACTCCCATCCCAAATTCCCAATTGCCATTTCCCAGCCCTCAAGCTAACAGAATAACAATCTTAACACCTATTTGCAAATTGATCCCCCAAGACGAGAGGTGCAACTTGAGTAAAAACAGTTTCTTTTACTGCATTCCTGAGATTTCCATGGCTTCCAGTCTTTTATGTTCTCTAAGGCTTTCCAGCTTTTGGTTATTTTGTCATGCATAAAGTGTAGCTATTCACTCCTGGAGTGGCATAAGTAGCCTGGCCTTTGGCTTTGCAATAATGATTTGGTTCATTGAAGCACAGGAGGTATATATAATCATGTAGTTCCTTGAGTTGGAGTATATGCCTCAGCAACATTTGGAATCTTAGAACATTATCATAGTTTTATCTGGTGGTTCTTGTCAGTTATTATCATCACCTAATAAACCCACCCAAAGCATTGCACGGCGATTTCAAAGTTGGATGAACAATATTGTTTACGGTTTGTTTTATCTTCACTAAAAATATTTAGTAACATTTGCAGATCCTATAATTCTCCCAAGTTAGGGTAGCTGTGGTAAATTTTACCACTTTCTCCTTGTCTAAATCTTATTCATGTTTTTCTAAATCTCTTTTTTTTTTTTAAATGAAAATTCTATATATCTAAATTATTTGATCTCTTGCCACTCGAAACCATTCAACACTGCATTTTAGCACTCCAAAAGCACAAGCCCTGTTTTGTTGAATTCTAGGATGATCAATTGATTATTCAGTTCGATTTTTTATTAATGGAATTATTAAAATAAAAAATCAAAATCGAACCAAATTGAACTTTGGTATTTCGGTTTTTTAATTGAAATTTTAGTTTCAATTATTAATTAATTAATTCGGTTAATAATCAAATTTTTTTCTCGGATGGGATTTGACTTTTGAGCATCTATTCTGAATGGGCTTTGGCCTTTGGGCTAAACTTCCTATCCTAAATACATGGCTAACCCAAATTGAAATCTTGGACACTATACAATCAGTCAATCACAGCCTGAGCCCGTTGAAATCAAATTAAAAAGACAAAGAATTTGTTGCTTTGAGCCTTCCAGAATCTAGAGTTCCAGACTTCCAGTACCACTTTCCTCTTTCTATCAATTGTATATTTCTATTGTTCTTTTCCTGGCATCATCTTAAGTGGTGTTGAAAGGTTGTCAGACCAATTGCCTCACTTCCTGGTAACGTGTGAGGAGATATCACCAGGAGATATATCATGTATCTGGAGATGTGTCATGTGTCTGCTCATTTTACGGTTTAATGCAACCGTACTCTCAGCCTTGCCTCGCAAAATTTCAGCACCACTGCATTTCGTTTCTTGATTTTTTTGGGTGAAGTAGTGACGATCTAGGTGATACAAGAGTTGTTTAGCATTGTGCCAAAGGAGGATTTCTAGCTGAAAATCTATCTTAGCCATGAAGACCACAAAGCTCTGATCAAAACGATGATAAACCATTGTTATTGGAGCTGCATAATTCTTTACAATGGCCATGTCAATTCCTGAAGCAATTTCCGAATGCTCCCTAAGTTTCCGAGAATGGTTAATTAACCATTTTTTCAAATCCTCCAGGACTTGACGATAAGCCACATTGGCATCACTTCCAGTTCCAAGCTCAAGAATAATTAACCCCCTTTAGGCACTTGATCCTGAGCAGTTTACAATTGGTCAAGGAATGGGCCGAAGGCAGTACAATTCTACTGATCCTGATTCCTGAAGCTATTTTTTCTGTCTTCCTAACTTCTAATAAATCTTATCTAGGCAGCTACACATATAATCAAATCACAGTAAAATGTTTATCAGAGATACATAATTAATTAAGCTCTAAAATGTGAAGCAGTAGCATACTAGCAGCAGTCAGCAGAGATAGAGTCACAGAGATAGAGTCACAGAGAGGGCAGTGCTGCAATGGGCAGTGGCTACCGCCCTGGTAGTAGCTACTGACCAGCGAGTTAGTGATCTCCCCAACAACAATCCAATATATAATTCATAAAATTTTATGCTTAGTAACTTTTTGACAATGGCATAATTCATAATTCATAATTCATAATTAAAATACAAATCACAATTCATAAACTCAAATTAAAAGAACATTAAAATATTAAAAATATCATCAAAATACATAGTTAAATTTGGATTCCATTCACTTCCAAATCTTAGCAATGACATTCCCTACAAAGAAAAAAATATAATCAATCCATCGAATATTAAAATTTTGAAAAATTATTATATCAAGCAAATAAAAATTAAAAACCTACCCATGACACCCAAAAAGCCAAAGCATCATCAATCCATCAAACATTCATATGGATTGCTCCTAAATCTGAAAAATTATAATATAAAAAAATCAACATTTTAACATTATTAAGTTATTATTTAGGAAATAAATAAAAAATAAAAAGATAGAGATAAAAATTACCAATTTCATTTTTCTCAACATCTTGTAAATTTTCTTTTACATTAATCGGCTTGGATGAATTTTTAAGCCAATCTTGAGCACATATGAAAGATTGCATTATGGTAGGCGATAAAGAACTCCTAAAAGCATTAAGAAATCTTCCTCTAGTGCTAAATGTCAATTTTGAGGGAACAATGGAAATAGGAACCGCCATCATATCACGAGCCATTGGTGAAAGAATAGGAAATCGCAAAGAATTATTTTTTCATCACTCTAAAATATCAAAATTAGAGTCATTATCTTCGAATCTTCAGCAAGATATTTATCTAATTCCGATTTATTTTCTTCATCTCTATTGTTAGACTTGAATTTTTTGAAAAAAATCCTCATCTCCAATTTCACACCCAGCTCCTCTTACCCAACTATTGTCTCATTTGCATTTGACACCTCTATTCTCTCACAACTTTGACCAATTTGATTTTTAGGTTTTGATAAACGACAATAGAAATTATACATGCCATATGTAGATTCTTTTACAATATTTATCATATTTTCACCATCCAAATCACCATACAATTATTTGATTGAAAATTTAACAAATTCAAGTTTATGCCTAGGATCAAGTATAGTCGCAATATAAATCAATTTATTCATTTTCTTAATATCCCCCAATACTTCGAAACTTTTCTTTCATGTTACCGATCAATGAAAAATTATCTAAATCTGAATTTCATTGCCATTTTCT